TCCGGCCGGCCGGCCGAACCGGACGGACCGGTTCCGACCGGCCGTCGTTTCCGGACGGCTTTCTTGCCGTCCGGCCGGCCGGTTCGGACAGCAACGGTCCGTCCGGCCGTGCTTTCCGGCCGGTTTTGACGTCGTCCGGCCGGCCGTTCCGGACGGTTTAAGGACCGTCCGGTTCCGGCGTCCGGACGGCTTTTAGTCCGTCCGGAACCGGCGACCGTACACGTATTTTTTCGTACCTCCGAATTTGACGACATTTCACCGTACACTTTCCTCTGAGATGTTTAGAAAAAATGAGAAGGGCAAAATTGTCCAAGGGGGGCGGTGACTAGTAAAATGGGGGGCGGTGAATAACAACACCCTATTAAAAAGACCAGCCCGGTAGTCTTTTTCCAGTTAGGATTTGCGTTTTATAGGGGTTATCTTGATTCATTAGAAATTGGAGTACAAAAAATTTAGCAACTGCTCATTTACAATTCGTGCATTTAAAATTTATTATTTTTATTTAAAAATATTAAAATTTTATTTTTATAAAGAATAGAGTATTAAAATTTATATTGCATGAGTGGATAATGAGTTTCATATATATGTATTTAAATGAATGAATAAGAATGTGAGTGGATGTTTAAATGTAAAGATGTTTAGTGGAATGATGATATGAACATGAGGTGGATGAGAGAAATTGTAAATTGTGATTGAATTAATGTAGACATGGCCACAGGCCGGGCCGGCCTGTGGTCCCAGTCCCGGCCCAGCCTGCAACCGGCCCGTAGGTTGCCTGTTCCGAGAACCGTAACCGTGGCTTTACGGGTCGGAAACGGGTCTGGTTTTTCCTTTTTTGGTCCCGGCGGTCTGGGACCGGGTCGGGGTCGGGACAGGTTTTTGGGCGGGCCGGTTAAGCATCATGAGGCCCGTGGGCCGTGGCCCGTTGACTGGCCATTTCTAAATTAATGGAATGGGATGTGGATACCCTAAGAGAATTGACAAGTTTTCTTATATGCAAATAATAAGGCTCCGCAAACGTGCCCTAAATGTAAAATTATCCCACCCGTCAATCACGTACAAGAAATTAGAGCTGTGAGCGCTCAAGTCAAAGCTTAACTCGAGCTCAAGTTTGACCGAACTCGAGTCGAGTTCGAGCACGAACTCGAGTCGAGCGGCTCATCAAGCTGCTCGAGATACATGTTAAATTACTAAAATACTCCTTATATATTAGCATAAGTGCTTAATGATTATTTTACTTGTTCACTTAAAATTTTCGAGCTGGGCTCGAGCATTTTGATTTCGAGCCGAGTCGAGCTCGAGCTATTGTAATTTTTTATCGAGTCGAGCTCGAGCCTCATAAATCGAGCTCGAGCAGCTAAAAAAAGATCATCATGCTTGGTAAACCCAATGCTCGACTTGGCTCGGCTCGTTTGCAGCCATATTTAAAGAAATACCAGTTTATATTTATCACTACAATCTATCCAGTATCTACTGTGTATTNGCGTCCCCGCAAGACGCCGCTGTTTTACCTCCCGCCTCCGAGTTAAAGGACACGAAGGCTTCGAGACCTTCCTCCCCTCCCAATACCTCGAAAACGCCGATCGGCACCGCGTCCCCGCAAGACGCCGCTGTTTTACCTCCCGCCTCCGAGTTAAAGGACACGAAGGCTTCTTTCTCGTCGGGCTCCGACAGAGAATCGATGTCGCCGGATGCTGAAGGCGGACCTAGTCCAAATCCGACACCGGTTGCTAATGTTTCAGCCGGCCGCTCGGAGGGCTCGAGACGGAAGGGAGGATTGACGGCGAATCTGGCGAACCCGGAAGTTCTGGACTGTCTTCACTGCCGCAGACCTCTTTTCCCCCGCTTCCCCTTATTTCAGGTCCCTTCTTCTTTTTCTTTTTTCTTTCGATTAATTATTCTTCTATATTCAAAATTTTTGGACTGCAAAAGAAAATTAACAATCTTCTATCCATTAAATGAGATAAATTTTAAAATTACGAAGCGCCGTTATAGTTGGGAATATACTGGGTATGTTGTTGTTTGTTGTTTGTATTTGAAAATTTAATATAAGCTGGGAATATACTGGGTATGTTGTTGTTTGTTGTTTGTATTTGAAAATTTAATATAAGCAAAGCAATAATAACTACGATCTACTTGGATGAACTTGAACTTGGAGTCTTGGACCCAATGAACTTGGAGTCTTGGACCAGAGGCGGATTGAATATCATGCTAAAGAAATTAAGTTGACATTAATTTTGTGAGATATGGCTGAGTAAAGGTAAGATGGTTCTTGGTCAATGAAAATTCGGTTTTCATTATTTTTTCAAATTTCATTTCTTTTTACGTCTTCAAAATAATTTCTCTACGTTGATCCATTGAAAAGTAAGAGAATATTACCCAAACTCACTTCACTCGAATTATGCTAAAAAAAATTCACTGTTAAGTAGAGATACTCTCGAACTACAATGTTATCATTCAAGAAACACAGCAGATCATGCATATTCTTCTTTTCATTTTGTTCATGTAGTGGTTATATTGGTGAGTGGATTTGTTTGGATCTTATATAAACTTTTTGTTGATAATACCTTAAAAAATAAAAAATAAAAATCTATTGCTTCAATTAGTATTCAGGATCCCTGATTTATCTGCAATATGTTTGTTAATCTCGTGATTTGTTTATCTTGAATTTAGTGTAGCAAGGGGCATATATTATGTTCAGAATGCCGCGTAAAATACAATAATAAATGCACAATCTGCCACTGTAAGATGGGAATCCATTGCAGAGGTCTCGAGAAGGTTCTGGAATCTCTCACCTTCCCGTGTGACAACTCATCCTCTGGCTGCAGAAAGTTGTTCTCTAGCCATCGCGATAAGCTGGATCACGAGGGGAATTGCAAGTTCATCACGTATTATTGCCCTTACACCAGCTGCAAATTCTCTGGCCTGTACAAGTGCTTCTCCAGGCACGTGACTCGGGCACATCCGAATTGGGCCACACAGTTTGATCTTGGCTCGGTCACCAAAATTGACGGCAATCACAGCACGACTGTTGTCCTCCAGGAAAGGACCCACAATACACTTTTTGTGTGCACCCGCTCAGTAGACCCCTTGTGTGGAACTGAAGTCGATGTGGTATGTATGGGTCCCTCGTCTGCTAAGGGTGCCCCATTCTCGTGCGATCTCACGGCAAAGGTTTTACCCCGATTCTCGTCTGATAAGGACACACCCACGTTGGTGAACATGAAGATGGGTGTGGAGTGCGTGCAGGAAAGGACGGACGATTCCTGCCAGGGGAAGTATCTTGTACTTCCAGCCAAGTTGATGGACGATCAGAGGAGAAGGCTCGAGCTGGAACTTATCATAAGGGGGAGCCAAGCTTAGTGGGGTGTGCTTTTGGTTTTTTCAAGCTCTAGTGTTTTTCTTGGCCACGCCTGTTATTTGGATATTTTGCAACCTGTGATTGTGTTTAACTGTATTGTGTTCTCTTTGACGTATTTATGTGGCTTTGTTGTGTTTTTCATGCTTGTCGTTGAGAGTAAAATGCTGATAAAAGTTGTCGTAGATTGTTTGCTATTCTTAGTTTCAGCTAGGCAGGGGAGCACTAAAGTCACTCTAGGGCCGAGTGGGCGGTTCGTTCTCTTTTGGCTTGGCCACCTCGGAGATAGAGTCTATGTATGGCAAAAGAATTGATATGTGCTCTGTGTGCACGAGCATGTTGCTGCCCCAAGGTTGTTATTGTGGGACCCGCATCAGGGGGTGGGGGTCCATTCTCAATGCAAGGGTTGTGGGTGGGGTGGATTGCGTTTGTGCAGGAGTTGACGGACGGACGAACAGACTTCCCCAGTTCCCAATCCCGTCGTGTCCAATATATGCACCCAACACACTGTATAGGGAACCAAGTTATCCAAAGGTTAAAATATTTGATTGTTTTATAAACAAAACATTGTTTAATAATAATTTCTTCACAGGAAAAAGAGAGTAACTGAACAAAATGGAATGGTTCAAATTTTGAGCAATTAATAGACTTATGATGCACTTTTCATATCGACCGTTCGAGCATTCTTCTCACACTCTAGGCTGTTGGCGGATTTTATGTGAACTTGGACTATCTCTGTAAAACCTGCAGACCGCTAGTAATTGTCGGTAGTCTTTTTTCTGCTGGAGTTCAATCAACTATCGGTGTTGACATGGTGCCCGCCGCCTTTTCTTTGATTGGGTTGGTCAACTCCTCAATTTTCCCAGCAACCATTTATACGCTGGCCAGGTGTAGGGTTTGAGAGGGTGGAGGGTGACGTGGCTACCCCTCCACCAAGCACTCAGTTTACTAGCGGTTTGGGCCAATTGGTCCAATTTGATCAACCCCATTGCTCCTCAACAGCCTCTCAGCAACATACCGAGTCTTGCCCCTCCTCTGGGCCTCCCAGCCAGCTTTCATTGAGGCCTCAGATATGTGTTGGGCCCATCTCCCCTACCCCTTTTTTTTCTTTTGGCTCGCTAGGCCCCTTGGGCCACGCAGCCCTTCCCTCTATCTTTTCAACCCAACCCACCTCTGATCACCTAGAACCCCTTCAACCCTTCCCATTACAGCCCATCCTCGCTACCCATACCCAGCCCACCTCACATCATTCTCTCTCAACCCGACCTGCCAGTTAACCCCTCATTCAGCCACCTGCCCAAACACAATCCCCTTAGCCCACTTTTTCTCAACCCCTCAACCCATCTCCCACCATCCACCCCCAAGAGGCTTCATTTACTCCGGCCTCCACCGCTTTGGGCCCTCCGCCACTGGTCGCGTCGGCCCCGATCCCCCTTTTTTTCCTCCGGAGGCACTACTACGACTAGATTCTTGGCCCGAGGTCCGTCTTTTAATCGGGCCTCACCCCGCCGGCAGCCGGCACCGTGGCCCCACATAACAGAGCTTCACAGGCCAAAATTCATTCGGCAGGCACCACGACGGACACCACCTCCAACGGTACCCGCTCTTTTCGGGACATGATTACCGACAAACCCGCCGGCGTGACACAACATCGGAGATTTACCTTTGGCACCTACCGGGACAATCCCCGAGGACCCATTACTTGCACCGAGGAGGGACAACACACAGTAAGTCTTTCTGAGCCCGTTATTTCCTCTTTTGTTGAGCTGTATGGAACGACCTTGATTTTTAAGTTCTCCCATATTGTCCCCAACCTCCGGGATTTGACTGTTGGACTTAGGAAGCTAGGTTATAAGGGTAGCGCCACACTCAAATACTATAACTTTAATAACTATTTAGTCACCTTTGACCTTAAAGAGGACTATAATTTGGCGTGGCTTAAGACGAAGGTTAGCGTTAATGGGTGCACTACTCGGGTGTTTAAATAAACCCCTGATTTCTCTCCCTCGACTGAGGCTCCCCTAGCCCCAGTCTGAGTTCGTCTCCCAGGTCTTCTCCCTCACCTTTTGACGCTTCTGTGTTGTTCTTGATTGCCAGTTGCACTGGCAACCCGATTGAGGTTGATGCAGCCACGACCACTCGATCGAGGCTATCCGTTGTACATGTGTGCGTTGAGATAGACCTCTGTGGTGTCCATGAGATCTTTCTCAACTAGGCGGGGAAGATCACCACACAGAAGGTGGTATACGAGAGGATCCCACCTTACTACACCTTGTGTGACCACGTGGGTCACGTAGGGGCTGACTGCTACACTAGTGGCAACAAGCCACGTCCATTGCTTCCGCCGCGCCGTCATGTGGCCAGATCGGGCCCTCAACTGCTCTGGGGGACCCCAAGGGAAAGGGAAGGCCCCTGCCCGCCCGTCAGAGTCCCCAAAGGGGATTTCGGGACAAGGGCAAGGCTGAAGTGGATAACACTGCCCAGACCATAAAGTCCGCTCAGCCTAGCCAGTCCAGTCCAAGTCCACAGGCTTTTTTCGTCCGTGAACACTCCAGCAGGCCTCTACGGCCAACCACTCTTACGTTGATGTCCTCTCTTCCGAGATAGAGGCCGAGCCTCCTCCTCCACTCGTCCTTTTGCATATTTGACAAGCCCCCCCTCCCCCCCTGGACGACGATGACCTCTTGGACGATGAGACGGATCAGCTAGACCCCTTTGTGAGCTTCAAGTCCACCCCCTTTCACAACGCCAACTCTCGAGATGTGGCTTCCTCCAGTGAGCATGATGCCTCTGAGGAGAGATCTCAGGGCTCGCGTTCCGCTCCTTTCACTGATTTTCAGGCTGGGGCAGAGGCGACCACTGTTATTTCCTCCGAGAGTGAGCTCTTTTTAGTGCGTACTTTCGGTGAAGCTTTTATGTACGTTACCGAGGATGCTCATGTCCTACCACCGGGATTCTCTCCCTTCTCCACTCCTGAGATGGCTTGCACTCTTAGCCGGGCTCTGCCTATTTTCGATGCTCAAGAGCATGGAAAGCAGCTTCAGGGACCATTCTTTTAGAGCCCCGACCGTAGCCAACCTCGCACAAGATCCAGGATTGTGCAGCGCTCGACTAGACGGACTTTATCCCACATTGGTGGATCGATTCAGCCTAGCCACAGGCGGACCATGTCGAGTAGCATCACCGACAGTTGATATGTCGGTCACATCACTAACTTGAAATGCCCGTGGCCTGTCAAATAAAGTCACCCTTGCACATATTAACTCATTTGTCCGTAACCATAGGCTCGACTTCGCTGCTTCTCTCGAGCTCGTGACCCACAACCCTTCTTTTGACTTATACTCACGCCGCCTTGGTTTTCACTCTGGCGTGGGATACATCTCTAACAAGATTTGGTTCTTTCACTCGCGTGAGTACACTTGTTGGGTCATCCGTGACACCGTACATGAGTTGCACGTCGAGCTTTCTGCCACCCATCTTCCACACTCAGTTTACCTCAATTATGCAAGGGTTGGGCGCTACTGTCTTTGGGACACCATGCATGAGATTGCTGAAACTATGGAGGGATTAGCGGGGATGGTATGCGGTGATTTCAACATCTTTTTGCATCCCGATGAGTGCATTTTTGGCCGTTTGGGCCGTTCTATAGAGATCGGGGATATCTCTCCGGCAGTGTCGGAATGTGAGTTAATTGACGCTGGTTTCTAAGCTCTCCCTTCACTTGGGAGCGTGATGGTGTCAAGGAGAGGCTCGGTCATGCTTTGTTCTCCGAGGCATGGGTGAGGGCTTTTGCGGTTACCGCCGTCAAACACCTTCCTCGAATTGAGTCGGACCATGCTCCTCTCTTCATCGGGTGTCCTTTTTCGCACAACCCCATCGCTCCTCTTTTAGATTCCAAAAATGTGGATTCGACACCACACTTTCCATGACACTGTCGGGGTCTCCTGACTGCAGCTGGCTGGGATCTTCGAGATGCGTAACCTGGATGTAGCGCCCCGTTTATTTATGGATTATTTGAGATTTATTTAGTATTATTGTTATTATTATTATCATTATTATTATTATTTATTTAAATGCCTAATTGTCTTCAAATGCCTAAATGCCTAGTATTATTATTATTATTTAATTAATGTGTGTACTATATATAAATAAATAATTATCTGATTTTATTTTATTGTTGTGCGATCGAACCGAGATATTCTCGGGCTAAGTCGAGCCCGTGGAAATCGCAAAATCGAGCCGATGAACCGGCCCAAAAATTCGTTAAGCCCGAGAGCCCGAGCTTATTGAACCGCTCGCCCGAACCGCACGCCCCGTGCACCCCAGCCGAATAAACCGAACCCGGTTCTCTCCTTTTCTCTTTTTGGTGCGTGTGTGTGTGTTTTTATTTTGAGACAAGAATGTTAAACCTAGCTATATATATAAATGTTGTATCTCTTTCTGTCTCGCTTAAAACAAGCCGCAGACACAAAATCCCACTGCTCTCACTTTTTCTCTCGCACAAGAAAAACTCTCGCTCGATCTCTCCTCTCTCACGCAAGAATCAGAAAAGCCGACCCTCATCTCCTTCTCCCTTGCTCCGATCAATCTCACCTTCTCCCTTATATTTTCCCGTCGCCAAAATTCACCGATCGCAGCGCGTCTGCAACTCCTTCCTCCGCGACCCCAACATCTCCAGCGAGCTCTCTCCTTCGTGAACTAGTCCGGCGAGCTCCTCCTTTGCCGCGACCAGCAACAATTCGACGACCTCCTTGCGAAGCTGCATCCCTCGTCAGGGTTTACCGGCGAAGTCCCGTCGCTGCCACGCCATAAGAGCCATCAGCCCTCCTCCGGCAAGAAGCAACGCCTAGACCTGGCGAACCCTCGCCGTGAACCCTCTTCACCGCCGCGATCGACCAACTGCTGCAACCCTTGTTCGCGAACTTCCGAAAACCTGCCCTCTTCCCGCGCCGCGAACAGACGCCCCACCGCGCCGCGACGCCACCGCAGAAGCCCGCCGCACCGCGATGCCACCACAGAAGCCCCGCCACGCCGTGAGCATCCCTTCGCGATCTCTGTTCGCGAGTTCCGGCGACTCCCTCCTCAGCAAACGTTGAACACGCGACCAGCAGGGCCCCGATGACTCATCTTTAGCCACACCTCCTCCGCGAGACGAAGCATCGCCGTCGAGCCACGAGCCACCTTCGACGTGTCGTTCGTTCTTCCTTCGTCCCATTTTTCGTACGTCTTCCCGAGAACGGTATCTAGTCGAACCTCGTCTCGTTAAATTGTGTGTATCGTTTGCGTTTTGTGTTTAATTGACGTGTTGAACATGCTTTAATGTACACGTTATGACATTATGTGAATAATGAGATTTATTGTGTTATTTGTGTTTTGTGGATCTCCTCGATTTTAAGGAATCGAGTGAGACCTCAAAACTCGTGTAAGGTTGTGGATTTTGGAACCATGTCGAGTCCTTGGCCTTAAGGGAAGGTCTCGGACGAGAATTAAGTGTTATGAATCATGTGCGAGATTGTCGAACTCGTATACCCGCTGTTTTAGTGTTAAAATTGTTATAAATTGTGTACTGCTCGAGTTGCTTTGAAATTTTAAGGGTTAAATCCTCTGTTGATTAAAAGGCTTGTGTAAAAATTTCATAATTTTCACGGTCTGTAACTATTTTAAACAATTAATGTGATTTCTGGGTAGAAAAAAGTTAAATGCATAATAAATTGCTTCGTGCTTCTATTATGCTGAAATTTGAGTATGTGATGCCTACGTCATATTTACACGTTGTGTAAAATTTTTAGAATTTTTGGACTAGGTTTGATAGGGTAAATAATTT